CTAATTTTGCAAGTTAGGGGTTTATTGGGCTACGACAGGCACACAGTAGGACTGATCACTTTTAGTGTCCAACTATTTTTGCATTAGGGTCATACCGTACTTGATAAATGATCTCCTTATTCGTGAACCCCATTAGATTAAGCCGATGTAATCTCAGAACGCAGAATTTCGGTATTGAGAAATAAGGGTATCATGCTTATTCTTTTTTCAAACTTTTGAATTAACTAGTCAGTTAAATTAAGAAAACGATCCGATGACCTATTACCTTTAATTTAGACTGTAACTTAGGATGTTACAGTAATTCCTGCATAGAGGAGCTCCAAATACAGTTGGCATTACGCGTTTGCCTTCCTCTTCCGTTCGCAAACAGAAGAAGCAAAGACTAACCTTTGCTCTTTCTTTTTGAATATCAAATCTTGAAAGAAAAACAAAAAAGGGGAAAATGTCCAACCTACATAAACTGTACTTAGACCGTATGACATGATGAACTAAACTCCAGAGTCATATAAATCTCTTATAAGAACTATTTTACCTTTTTTATATGAAAATGAAGAGAGAGAAACCGCTGGAATCAACATCATCTACCCTTTCAGACATGTATCCTCGCGAAAATCCTCTAAGGCAACCAAATCGCGATCATATAAAGAACACGACTACCATTCTGAATCCCCGGCGAAAAATGACCTTATTGATCATATAGATTTAACAGATATGAAAGTTGAAGCAACTATAATTCCAGCAGTAAGGGAAAGTATCGTAACGTGAGTGACATTTACACTTGAACTGTCAGGAAAACGAAATTTTTAATAAATAAGGTGCTTGCGACAAGGAGCGCCGCGCTTGGAGGGTCGTCAGTCGTTTGAAAATTCACCTAGAATTGTGAAATTGATCACCTATGGTACTTCTGATCACATTACCCTTATGGATGCACCAGAGTCGAATAGTAAGCTATTAGTGCTGACTTTTTATTTTTATTCGGTATTTTCATTCCTTATCGACGCAGTAGACAGATATGTATCTGAGTACTTAGGGCAAATAAGAACAACCAAAAAATCAAAAACTTGGCAGAAAACATAAGATTTTAAAATCATCAAAGCATTTCAATATAAAAGAACTTTTTGAGATCTTTTATAATTGTAGATGCATCGAAGATACTACCTGGGACTGGTCAAAAAGCTGCTGAGGATCTGCTCATTCAAATGATCGACAATGGTCCGCGTGAATTCGAGTTTGACAGAGTGCAACTCATTGAGGTTTTGCGCCTAGCAGCCGCTCTTTTCCTGTCGGAAGACACTTTACTTGAGGTTTCTTTACTTCGAATTGGAACCTAGTAAAAGTGATGATGTAATTTTAGATACCTGTGCCCTGCATTATTTACGGAGACACTCACGGACAATACTCAGATCTTTTAAGATGGTTTAACTTGAACGGTTGGCCACATGAGACGAGGTATCTGTGTCAGATTATAATAAGAGCATCCAGTAGTGTTGATATCACTTCAAAAAGCCAATATGTGATTTTATAGAAGCGTCTTCCTTGGAGATTTTGTTGACCGTGGCGCACATGGCGTTGAGCTGTTCACTCTGATTGTATGTTTGAAGGTATGTGTGTATTATGCTGAAAATATGACATTTATCGTAATTTACCCTGCACGCACCGGGCAGTTCTAAATCTTGAATACTAAATCCGATTGTCAAATTACTAGAACTTCAATCTTTCCCTCTACTACAGAACAACTCCAAGAATCGTGCTGAGTGCTCAGTTCTCCCGCACTTTTTTGTGGCCATTTTCCCCTTTAGGCTACGCAGGTGGAAATAACAGGTGTATTTGAAGTCGTGTAAGAGAAAATTTCAGGATTTCTCCTGAGCACAACTTTGCTAGTGGGGCTATGCATCACTG